ATGTCAAGCTTGACCCTCTCAAGGTTTGTAAGGGCAACCCCATGTTTTAGAAGACAAGCTCTGAGCTGTAGAGATGCAGTTTGGGAGAGGTTATCTAGAATCCTTACAGGACACTTGAGCATTTGCAGTTTGGTATCAACACTGGTGAAACTGAAGGGATGGCATGTAGGCGTTCTGGGGTTTGTTGATATCTTTATAATTCTTGTGCTATCCAAAATGAAGTATAATTGCTGTCAGAAAATGTCTGTAATATCTGTCTGGTTTTTGTCAATTCCTATGTTATGAAAGCTAAATTATAAAGCAGAGATGGGGGAAAAAAGCCTTGCTTTGGGAAGGGAATCACAGAATTTACTGCTCTGTTTTAGAAGTCAGAGTCTAGCATAGGTGATTGAGAGGTGGAATTGGCCATCCAATGGGAGTCCCAGCCAGCCCTTGGTGGTTTAATATTCTAGACAACCATGAAAAAGATGGTGACTAAAAGCTTGGCTGGTCAAAGGGAAGCTTAAAGTTGCATGTGTCCAAGCATAACAGTGATTTGTGTTCCCAGAGGAGTCTTACCAGGTAAACACATAATTTACCTTACCCAGTAAACACATCAAACCTTTGCCTATTAGTAGATGTGAAGAGTTTGGAGCTGGTTGCAGATTCTTTTAACCCATCTAGCTCTTGTGGGAGTTTGGGAAGGAGGATGTGCTCAAAGAGCATGGCTTAGTGTGCTCATCAAGCACAGCTTAATGACTTTGTGTAAAGAAGGGTGCTTAGCAAAGTTCTTGAAACTAGTTGACAGCTGCCTGGCCACACTGGGCTGGGTCCTCCTGTGTGCAGGGAAGGACAGAGGGGTGTCATTAACCTTGCTGCTTTCTGCAAGCAGCTCTTGTCTTTACAAGCTGAGTATTTATGCACACGTTTGGGTCAGGAAGTAGACTGCATCTGCAAGACATTGATTTGGCATGACCTAAACTTGTCTTCATTGCACTGTTCCCATGACACTGGGCTGCTTCCATCCCTTCAGCTATGTGTACTGAGCTCATTGGAAGAGAAATCAGTGTTTCCCAGTGACACTTTGCTGCTGCAGTACTTGTGGTGCTGCCCGGGTTTGGAGTCAGCCCTTCTGTGCTCAGTTGCTTTACACTGGGGTAAAAATACACTAATGTAATACTGAATCAGGTTCTGCATTTTTAAGAGGTGCAGACACTAATTAATTTTCACAGAGCCCCTGCAGATAGAGAAGCTGAACTGCTGAAAGTCGTGTGGTGAGATAGAATTGTGATTAGGATTTCATGTGAGACCTCTTCCCTTCCAGTCCTGTGCTCTAATTTTGTAGTGTAGAAAGCCTTGCCAAAGTAGCCCTGAGTAGCCCTCTGATAAAAAATCTTCTGCTCACAAACGGACAAGAGTGAGGCCTATTACCATGCAGTCTTACATTGTCTGTTCTTCACATTTTTGATAAGCTACAGCACATTTTAATATAATTATTAACATGGCTAATTTGCAGTCACACAGTCGTATCAATAATAATGGAAAGTTGTTCCCAGGTAATAAATTAGCATACAGTATAACTAGCAGAACTATGGTTCTCTGCATATTGTTTCATGATCAAGAATTCAGTAGTTAAATATACACAGCAGTGGGCTGAGAACAAGCTGTTCATTTTTACTGCAAGCAGTACCAGTGGACCAGAGTAATCATAGCTCCCAAAAGCAGGACTGGTTTTATTGATTTTAAATAGGCTTTCATTATAGAACTGAGCCTAGTACAATTGGAAGGAGTATCAGTGCCATTTGTATTCACAGCACTGACTGGTGGGAAGGAGATGGGTCACTGGATGCAGCAGAGAGGATGCTTGTCCCTCAGTGCTACATTCAGTTCTGCTGAAACATCTGAATTTATTTAAAAGAAGAGTACTTCAAGCTTTTTTCATCTGTGGTTAGATTTATTTTTTTTTTTTTTAGAAATGTGGTTAGAGCCAACTAGGGTTGTGAAATTTTAGAGTCTGAGGACTTTCCTGAGGAGTAAAGGTTTTGCTTACTTATTGACATCTGACTTGGGGACAAGTTGTATCCTGCTCCATTTGTTTTTAAAGGACTCTTTGGAAATGTTCATGTCTCTTTCTGTAGATTACTGGAAAAATAAAGACAAATAGCAGATCCAGTGAATAAACTGTGAAGTCTGAGATATTAATGTATTCATGTTATAATTAGTTAAGAACACATGCTGTTGCCAGAAATGCACCATTAATCTGCATGGAGCAGTTTGTGGCTATTTGCTGCTAAATTAGTGACACTTAAAAGCAGTCTTTTTTTATATTGCTATGAATGATAAATAAAATTTTAAATCGGTGACAAAAAAGTATTGTGCATGCTTAAGAAGCAGTCTGTTTTCTTGTTTGGGTTTTGGGTTTGCTATTTTTTTCATTTCTATAAAGGCTTGTCAGTCGATGGACATACACAGAAGTTCATTGAAGCCTTAATTACCAAATACAGTGCAGTTGAAAAAGTTGTACTGTACTTCGTGGTGATGTAAAGACACGTTGCTTGTGCTAGGTTCTCTTCCAGTCCAAGACTTAAAACTACACAGCCCTGCTTAAACATTTTTCCAGTGTTCCTACAGTGGTTTGGAAGGGGGCTAATGGAAATCAATTACAGCTCTTTGTTCTTAATGAGTTTAATACCGACTTTTCATGTTGCTTTATAGATTATTTATTTATTTTTATTAGAACCTACAAGTGAAGGTGAATTACTTCATATGTTCCAGCTAAACCATTATTTTTGTTTTGGGATAGTCTCTCATAACATAATTTGGGATTTTGGGCAGGAGATAGCAGGAAAACTTTGTGTGAACATTTCTAGACTTCGTCTCTTTAAATAAAATGCTGATGTTAAATGGTGAAGCAACTTGGTAAGATACTGAGTGATTGAACCTAGTTACTGTAAAATAAGATCTGGCTGGTTTACTTCATTTTACAGAGCCTGGGCAAATAACTCTTGAATTAAATTGCTTCCTCTTGGTTTCCTCCAGGGCAAGGAGAACCTGCTGTACTGTGCTCTGCTGAGCTGCTGTATTGATTAGTTCTTCAGGTCTAATCTTTACATGGTTATGCTAGTGTGTTTGTTGGGTTTTGATAGTTGTTTTTCTGAAGTTATTGTATTGCCTGGATAGTCCCCTAGTGGATTATGAGAATGTACACATTAATTTCTCTCTCTAACTTCATTTGTTGTAGCCAAATGAAGATAATCAGCACTCATGTAGCGTGTTGGTTAGGAGCGACGGTGATGATCACTCACATAATTGATCTCACGTATCACTGACAGTCACAACTCACATTGTCAAGGTGGATGCCACCTAAAACCGATGTAATTAAGTCCTTGCAGCATCCATTAGCAACACTATATTAGATTCACAGCAACTGTTGTGATTTTTGTTTGCTTCTGCAGGTTGGAAAGTGATTTATAGTTTTAATTCATCTTAATAATTTGTGTGCTTAGGAAACACCTGATATAAAACTTTTTGTTGCATTTAAATTTCCTTGTTATCTGCCTCACAGAGGCATGAATAATAGGGAGCTCAGAATATGAATATATTGGAATGGGGGAAGTATTTCCAAGTGGAGTGCTTATAAGGTTCAGAATGATATATGTCAAATGTTACTGAATGGATAAACATGTGAAGGAACTTTGCCTTGAGAAGCTTGGAAATCTCTTAGTACACTGCCTTCAATAGCTGTGTTAAAAATGCATTTCTATCTAAATACAGGAAATACGATATTTATTTCATCATATTTATTCTATCCTAAGATACAACTTTTTTTCTGGCTGCTGAAATTTATTATACTGGAACTTTGAAATGATGCCGTGTCAGAGCTGGTCTGCGCCAAAAATTGCCACACTCCTAAACATTTAATCATCTGTAAAATGTTTTTGTGTAGTATGAGCATGGAAAGCCTGTTTGTACAAATGAAATTATCTGTATCCTCTGTAACTTAAAGAGTAAATTTGTCAATTTAACAATGAATTCTCATGTTTTCTTGCATACTTGCATAGAATGTTATGATTCGAGGTTAATCCAAACATCACTGAAATGAGAGATCTCCACAAGCTTCTGAAAAGGGTCATAATGTTAGGCTTTTCTGGGCATGCTGAATGTCCACTGTTATATTGTTAATCTTATGTTAATGTCAGGATTTCAGTCTTTGCAAATTACCTGGCAGTATTATAATAAATGTGCAAAGTGACAGTACGTGGTGTTAATAAACATCTTGCAGCCACCTAGCAGGTGTTTATGGTTCAAAAGTCTGCAGAGATCATGAGTGATGTGTTTTGTTTTGTTTTTCCTTTTCCCCTCCTGATTTACACTGTAAGGATGTCAGGATTGCTCCTGTTTGGAATACAGATCTTGGTGCAGTTGCTTCTGTCAGTCTGTCTTGCTGCACTTTCTCGTTACTAAGAAATTGCCACACTCACATTTCCAAAGGTTCAGGTGATGCCTCACCTGATGACTGAATGTGCTTTCACAGCTACTGCCCTTGTTCTAAGCTTACCTCCCTTTGGAGGTGGAGATTTCTTCGAGGAGCACATCCATAGCTCTGCTTGCCTGTGTTCAGAGCAAGGAATGGAATTTATTTTCCTTGATTTGTTTGTTGTGGATTAAAGACAAAATAAGATCTGATTGATGTTTTTAAAAACTGTGCCAGTGTAAGCCTTCAAAGTGTATGCTGGTTATATGCTTGTTGTGCAGGCTATGTAGCATTAATAGCATGGTTTTGATCTAAATCATAACATACTTATCCAACTAATAAGTAGTGTATATTTATCCTGTAACTTCATTAAACAATTCTTTTTTCCAAGGTTGCTTTATAAAAATGCTGAATTGACTGTTGTTTTATTGCTCACTAGTTATGTAAGACTTATCTTTTTTTTTTTAAAGTCTGAAAAAAGTTTTTTAAAACTTACAAGCTCAATAAATGACATGTGATAGAATAGCAATGTGTTTTTCTTTTACAGAGGCAAAGGAAATTGTTCTGAAGGCACAGATTCTGGCTGGAGGGAGAGGAAAAGGTGTTTTCAATAGTGGATTGAAAGGAGGAGTTCATCTAACTAAAGAGTAAGTCTTTAAAATTGAAAAAGCATAAATAAATTGCCTCTGTTGTAACATTTAAGCTGTTTACAATAACTGTGTGAATTTCCTTTAGTATCTTTCAATAAACTAACCTTTTTCATTTGTTTGTAGCCCTAAGATTGTTGAACAGCTTGCTAAACAGATGATAGGGTACAATCTGTCAACAAAGCAAACTCCAAAGGATGGTGTGACAGTTAAAAAGGTAAGATTTTGCCTCTTGAAAGTTGAGGACTCTGTTCAGCTGCAATTTTGCATGAACATGCTGGGGTGTATGAGTCAGATTTATTTTTTTTTCATTCCTTTTCAAACACCTGATTGGCTGCATCTAGTTGATGAAAGAAAAGTTACTTTTTCTTTCTCTGTACGTATTTTGTCTTTGAATTTCAACATACCTAGTAGTGGCAAAGTGAATTCAGTTTTGCCACCTGTGTTGAAGGGAATCCTTTTTCGTAGCTCCATCCCTCATCACATACAAACTAAATGCTGACATGACTGTATATAGCATTAACTGCACATGCTTATTGACATTCTGCTTAGAGAACTACTATATGGATGATTACCTGTTGTAATAATATTATCCATAATTCATTCATCATCAGATTTGGGCAGCTGTTATTTCAAAGGTAGTGGCAGATGACTTTGCATGAGGATGATCTAAATCTTAAACAGAACAAAACAAAAATGAATCTGAAAATAGATCTTTCTGACTTGTTGCAGATGGAGTAAACTATGGTCATGGTAGGGGTTCAGCTGATACCTGGTAATTCATTTACATGTGATGGTGCATGCTGCAAGGTGCCAAAGACTCACTTCAGCATAAATATATTGCTCTAAATAAATATATTGGTCTAAATAAGAGAAACATAGATAGCCCTTCAGCAAGATTCTCCTTTGTCTTAGCAAAATTCTCTAAGTCAGGAAATCCTGGCAATTGCTTTCCTGCTATATATTTTTATCTCTTGATTTGTTTTACTTAGCAAGGATCTTCATACAGGTATGTATTCAAGAGCCACTCTGTATTTGATGCCAGGAGATAATTTGGCATGAGCTGAAAAGAGCTGCAGTTCACTTTTAATATACTGTGAACAGCTTGGTATATTAGCATCGAAGGGGAACACCTGTCTGGAAAGATACTGTCTAATGAGGGCTGGAGGAAGGTGCTCAGGCAGTTCTTCTCCTGGGGAGCAAGGAGAGCAGATTACCATCACTCCTCAAAGTTCTTGTTAAAAAGAAATACTGGATATTTAAAAGAAGGAACAGTGTTACCATTAAGGCATGTCTGTCAGCGTTGATAATACTAAGGATGTAAAAAAGGATATACATTTCCCATACTAAGGCATATTGCTTTGAAAATTTTGTGTTGTAAAAGCAGCTTTCTTTTATAAATTCTTTGGGTTTATTTTTTTGCCCTAGTTGTCCTGCTTTGAGTACATCAACACAGGAGATTTCACTCCTTTGTCCGAGTGCAGGTCTGTTCATTCATTTCCATATTCAGTTCTGAAAAAGAAACTTCTAATTTTCTTTGAAATTAGTAGCAATGATAGAAAGGTGTTGGGGCTTTTTCGAAATGCGTTATTCAAAGGATTTACATTAAGATGACTTTTGTACTATGGATAGGATATCTGTAGAAGATTTAACATGTAATTGCTTTCCTGCCCGTGCACACATTACTTGTATAATTAAACAACAGTCAAGAGTAAGCAGCTAGGGCATATGTGAAGTTGAAGGTGAAGATTGCATTACTGAACTTGAGGTCTTTATTTTGGTGGTTCAGGAAAGTATATAGCCTTGGTTGACTGTATTTTTCCTTTGCTGTAGAGTTTCACAGAAAATTTTCATGACACAGCTTGTAAGTATTTTAATATTGATGGGTGGTCAACCAGTGTGATGCATTTCACTGGGAGAAGCTGATCACCTGTTGTCATAAGCTTCCATTCTGATTATAGACTTGGCTTTGAAGAGCCCTACACCAATTTATATCTTCATCACCCAAATGTGTAACAAAGTAATAGTATGTTTTACATTTTTTTGTGTAGGGATCCTGATTCTTGGTAATTTATGGTAAGAGCATACAACCCTGTTTTAAATTAATTATATAAGTTGGGCCAATGATGTGCTAATGGTTTCCCAGTTGCTTGTTAGATAGTGAATAAAGTGTGTTTAAAATTATGCATGTAGATCATCAAAAACCATTTTCCAGAAAAATTAATGCCTTTTAAAAGCGTTTTTTTCCCCCCAATGTTAGCTCCCTCTAGGATCTACAAATTAGTTAAAGGAGCTGAGACATTCATGTTTGTAGTATTAGGACTAAAATGTCAAACTCTGAAATTTTAATCAAGGAGCAAACTACAGTAATATGATTAAAAGTATAAGTTTAGCAGTATCTAAGATGTCATTTAGTGCAATGGGTACTTAGTGCACAAAAGATGTTGGACAGACTCTTCAAGCTTGCTAAGAGCAGTGGGGGAGTCAAGAAGTAATAGCTGGTATTTTGTTCTGTTTCAAGGCATACACTTTCTGTATGCTTGAAAATGTGTGTGTAGATAGTCAGAAAATTGCAGTTCAGGAAGAAAAGACATGTTTTTATGTTTTGTGGATTTTAAACTTTTTGGTATTTTAGAAAGTTTGAGTGAACTAATTTTAAAAAATTTAGGTAATAAACATTTTTCACAAAGAAAATAGTTATTAAATCACTTTCTGTAAGGCAATCAATGAACTAGTGTCAAGTCAGGGAGTGGAAGCTGTGTACCCTTTACATGTGTTAGTAAGGAAGGAATAAAAAAGAGACATTTTCTACAATTAGAGTAATTATGGAGCAGAAAATGGAGTTTTCAGCTTTCTTTCTTAGCTTGTGCACCTACAACAGAATTTAGAGCATGTTTGTGCTTCTTTAGATTGATGTTTCTTAAATAAATAGCAATCTCCTCTGTTCCCTTGTTACTTGGAAGCTATTTTGTGAGTTTACATAAAATCCTCTTATGGCAACTTGGAATTTGGAGAGCCTGGTTATCTGAGAAGACAGTCTTCTCTTATCATGACAACCTGAGAATTTGCTACCTGTGTTTTCTCTCCAAGCAATAACAGAATTAACATTTTGAATATTTGATTCCGTATAGAAAAGCTGCTATGGTTACCCTCATGACATTAGATATGTGACTTAAACTTTTAGATAAGCATTTGTTTTTAAGAAGGAAAGCTTGAGGTTGTCAGGAAGTTTTAAGGAAAAATGTTTTTTTTTCCCCAGGACAAGTATAAACCTGATGTGGTAAACAGATAATGATGCTTCATATTCTTTTCATAAGCAAAACAAAATATGAGAAAAGTAAACAGTCTGTACCTTCATTTCACTAATCTTAACTGTTCATTAATGCATTTGCTTTTGGTTTGTCATGTAAATCATGGGTAGATTTAAACACATAATATTTAAAGAACGAACACCAATTTCCCTGGCGTTGCTCTGCAACAAGCAGGGAGGATGGTGAAGGAAAGTAACTGGGTTTTTTTGTTGGGAATAATGGGAAATGTTACACAGTCTGACAACTTTTACTCTCCAGTAAGCTTGACTACTACAAAGCAGACAGACTCTGGAAAGCTTTGTGAATTAAGATAGAGAAGTAGCTGACAATGTTGATGTGCTTAATTAGTAATAGTGAGGACAATCACTTGGGTTGGAGGTAGGAGTTGAAAACACCCCTGATTTATTAATGTGAGTTCCATCTGCTGTGCTTGCAAATTTGTTGTTCAAGACTTGTTGAGTGGATTTCCATCCTAAGTCTCACCCTGATCCTGAGAAACTGTGAATAGCTCAGAAAAGATCCAGTAGGACCAGCTGGATTTATTGGCCTATGTCTGAATCAGTTGACTCACATCTTTCAGATGCATTGATGCAGGATATGTAAGAAGCTGAAAACATGCATGCAGGTAAAAGGACTAGTAGTAGCAAATGAAGTATGCTTTCCATATCTTTGCTCATTAATTTGACAGATCTTAGCAGGTAGCCAAGCTGTTTCTGAAGTTGGCTTTTAGCATCCCTGTATAGTACCCTAAAATAGGCAGATGCTTTTAAGTAGCATGTTAGTTTTCAACATTCTTAGTTGTGTTCTTCACCCTAGTTTTCTTTAGTTTGCTTTTGAACAGTCGCTTGTTTGAGCTATTCCTTTACATCACCCTGTGTGCTATGAATAAAGCAAGGTAAAAGTAGAAGGAAACAAAATTTCCTACAAAGCAAATTTCTTCCGAGCCAGAAAACCTATAAAGAAATAGCATCTTTCCTTCCATTCTGAGCACACAGGGCTTTATTTAATTCCTTGTCTCTTCCTTTTTTTATTCTGTCCTGTTAAGATGTATAGCCTGGCAGAAGGTACGTACATTCTTTCTTATGTAATCCAGAGTAGAATGTCAAAAAAACGACTTGGGTGAAAGTGTAGTGCATCTGTCTTGTTTATGGTCCTTGAACTATGAAAACCCCAGGAATACTTATTTGATGGAGCACATCTTGCTTGGTAGGCAGAGTTTTAAGTCTGCAGGTGTATACATTCCTCTCAGATCTAAGGAGTTTGAACTGCTGACTGACAAAATGAGTTTCACCTTATGTTTAATTCAGAGTGATGATCTTTGTCTGCCATCGTTGTTCAGAATGGTCACTTTGTTAGAAAGACATTGCCACTTAATCCTTTCTAATTGTATTAATGTTAGGGGAGAGATGAAGTCAGTGAGATGATGGCACCTGTTATGATCATAGGAATAATTAGTAATGATCCTATGCAGATTTTTTTTCTTCTGAAGGTGACAAAGATTTGGGGGAATTTTGTGCTTTTTTGCATCAAAACATAGTTCTGTGAGGCCTTTGCCAAGTGTAAACCTACTTAATCTCTGAAATTGCTTCAATAGTTATTGTTAAACTCTTACAAAAATTGAACGTTCAGATGAAGAGGAAGGTATAGTTATTGTAATGCTAAAATGGACAGAATTTTGGCCTGTTTTTGGAAGGGGAGAAAAAATGGTAACAAAGAATTTATATGGGCTATTTTCACTCCAGTTTTAATGGGAGTACTTACAGATTCCAAACATGCAGGATTTGATTAATCTTTTTTTTTTTGTTGCATGCTGAGGTATCTGTCAGCTACTGGTACAAATGGACTCTGTTGTTTATAGTAACAAATAGAAATTAGTAGCTCTTTGGAAAAATTCATTTTTGTATTTCTAGATTGTGCCAGTATCTGAAGATCACATATATCCTTGTCTCTGTAAACTGGAAATAAAAGGCTGCATGGTAGAACTATCTGTAAACCCATTTCTTTAGGAAATCCTTAGGTAGTGCAGGGATTCAGTGCTGACATTATCAGTGTTGGATGGCTTTCTGTCAGAACGAGGGGGAGAACTTAAGCCTGAGGCTTTACTGGTGAGGAGTGGTGCTGCTGCTGAGGTGCACCTGAAGGCAAACATACCCTCCTGTTACATCTACATGATTTGCACACTGGAGTCCCTTGTGGCTCAAGTTTTTCTAGGAGCAGCGTGTTAAAGTGGGTGTTGGGAGTAAAGAGGTAATATGGAGGTTCCCTTTGTGGGTACAGGAGCAGCTCTGATTCTCTTCTTGGGAAAACCCCAACAATTAGGTGTTCATGGCTTACAACGCTTGTTACATGGCCCAGCGAGAACAGCAGCATCAGAGGAATTCTTTTATTTAGAGAGAGAGGATTTCTTGGGAAAAAGATCAGTGGGTTGTAGTATCTTGTAAAAGCAGCGAAACAAATGTGTCTTTTCAGGAAAGTATCAAACTGCTGCGTTTTCAGGCAGTGCAGAAAACGTGAGACACAATGTTCTCTGCTTCAGCAGCTAGATGGACCAGTCACAACTGTTGCTGGTTTTTTAATTTTTTTTTTTCTTCCCTTTTTATCATTTTTAGGTGATGGTTGCAGAAGCACTGAATATTTCCAGGGAAACGTACTTTGCCATTTTGATGGACAGAGCCTGCAATGGACCTGTTATGGTTGGCAGTCCACAGGGTGGTGTTGACATAGAAGAAGTCGCAGTTACTAGCCCAGAACTTATCTTTAAGGTATTAAAATAATATTTTTACATGAAAAGTTTTCCCTTGCCAGTTATCCAAAATAATGGTGTTTCCCTCACCCCCTTTCTCCTTCTATTTTTTTTTTCTTCTTCCATATATGGGAAGAAGACAGTAAGAACAATAAAAATTGTGTTTCCCCAAATAGGGGATCAGACCTGTCACTTAGTAGATAAATAAAACATGTTTAATATCTGACTTCTTCCGTGTATGGGAAGAAGACAGTAAGAACCATAAAAATTGTGTTTCCCCAAGTAGGGGATCAGACCTGTCACTTAGCAGATAAATAAAACATGTTTAATATCTGATTTTGTTAGGGTTTGTGTCTCCAGCTCAATTAGAAAAAGAGCTTAAACCTGGCTGTTGTCTGATATGTTAAACTTAACATCTGAAATGTTTTATGAGTGAGTTTCACTTTCAGGAAGGTACATTTTTTTTTTCACAAGTGGGTCAGTGCCAATATGGTTATTGTTTCTGTGGTTGTTTTTTGTTCTAAATGACAGGGTTGTTAATTATTTCTTTGTACCTGGATGACTTTAGCATTTGAAATCCAACTGTTGTAAGTGCTTTCTTAACAATGACTAAATGAAGTATTTTTAATGTTACTGTGGCATGATAATTAGTAGACAGGCTATTTATCTGGGAAAATAATTGATACAATCAAGTATAATTATTCAAAAATTGTAAAAATATTTAATATGCATTTTTAAATTATAGCAAATTCACAGTGTTACTGGGCAGTGACACCCATTGCCTTGAAAATCTTCCAGAAGATGTCATAAAAATTAACAGACTAAATATTCGTCAACGCCATCTGTACAGTAATTAAAAGTGAAAACTGGTGTCACATTGTCTTGTCAGCATGCCACCCTGAAGAATTATATATTTTTTGGAAGGACTCTTTTCGTAGTTGGTGTGGTAATTATAACATCCCCTATAGGCAGCTGCTGTAGCCTCAGCCTCAGAGAGCTTTGGCAAACAGCCATGCTTTAATTACTAATTTGCAAATATATACTAAGTGTTTTCCTTTTGAAGTTTTAAATCTCCATTCAGCTTGCATATTTAGTTATATTTATGCATGTTATTGTTACAGGAGGAAATAGATATTTTTGAAGGCATAAAGGATCATCAGGCATTGCAGATGGCAAAAAATTTGGGTTTCAAAGGACCTTTGCAACAGCAGGTACCTTGTCTCTACTTCCTCAGTTTTTGCTGAAGACTTTTTAGTGCAGCTAAGCTATAAATGCTTTCCAAATAGACATGAAAGGTGAAAAGTCTCTTAGATCAGGGCCATTTAAACATTTTAAATACTAAATTGCACCTATATAATTGTCATCAGGCTCTAGCAATTTGAATAAGGGCCTTATCTTTCCAAGGTTAAAGGATTCTTTTGATTTCACTGGAATTCCACTGGAGCTTAGTGAACTATGTGGGTAGAGATTTTGGGGAAAATTTGGCCCTTAATATGAGGAGAAATAAAAGTGTGTCACTCTGTGTAATTGAAACCTTTTTGCTTTCGCCCCCCTGCCCCCAATCTTCAACTCAAGACCAAAGGCTGCCAGCTTGTTGTCTCTTTTCTATATATATGTATTGGAATTTCATATTGTACACAAATATGCAAGATATTTTGCCTTTATGAATCATTTTGCGGAGAAGAGAAAGCTTGTTGAAGCTACTCTTGCCTGTTGTGGTTTTTTTCCATAGTATCAAGCTGTCGTTTTTGTAGAACTCCTTTATTTTTAATTCAACAGTTTTAATTATTTTCTATCCCAACCGTGCAATTAACAAATGCATAATCATTAAGTTGATTAACATGTTTGAAGATTTAGCTGTATATCTAATGAGGAGGAGTGATTATGAAGAACCTTTCAACCCTTGAAGAGTTCTGGTACTTAATAATTAACAGCAGTATGTGGACTTTTCAACAATACATTTAAATAATGCTGCAGTGAATGCTTTTCTTTCCTTGTGCTGTCAGCTCAAAGGAATTTACTGAAGCATAGGACCATAGTTTTTATTCAGACAAATCCTAGTATTTACTTATACATTCACTCTTTCTAGGGTGGGATTTTATGCTGTGCCTCAAAGAGACTTAGTACTTGTAGACTGTGAGAAAGAGAAATGTTGGCATTAAGCTGCCCAGTTCAAAGAAGTGCTGGGAGATGGAGCAACCCTTAATAAAAGTTCAGCAGTTCTGGTGATATGCTAAAATCACAGCAGTGTACTAGGGCAACAGCAACTTTTTGGGTTGCCCAGAATCAGTGTGGGGTTGCATGGTGGGGCTCCCTCCCTAGGATTACTGTTGAGAGCCTTACCCATGTGGTATTAGGGTAATTTGTCAGCTGGAGTGTTCGTGCCAAGGAAACTGCTGCCTTGGTGGGTGCAGATTTAGAACTGATTATTTTTCTCAAGTTGAAAGTAGTGAGAATGCTTCAGCTGATGACTTTTGAGCAGGGAAGACTCAATAAGCAATTTGTATGTTGCCTCCAAACTGTAACTCTTTAAAGAGGCTTGCATGCACTGATCCCAAATGTGGACACAGCACTCCATGTCAGCACTGAGTGGAGGGAGGCAGGAACATCCCTCACCAGGTTCTTCCTGACGTAGTGCAGTGTAGGGATTGAGTCTTTCCAGTCACAGTGGTTTATTTTTGTATGAATGACGTTGTAGAAGAAAGCTGACTTCTGTTTTATTTTTTCTTCTCATTCACTTTACTTATTAGGAGAGGTCCCAAATATTTTTGGTTCATGTACTTCAGTTAACTGATCAATAATGAAGGAACAAACTTGGTTCTTTATTAGTGTACTTCTTCATCTGCAAACTTATTTCAGCTAATAGGTTGTCAGTGTGTAATGAATCAAAGGGAATTTTTTTTTAATGCATGTTCATGTTGCTGTTGTTTAAGTTGTTCTATTAATGGAAGAATGTTGTAAGAACGAGTTCTTGGAAGTTAATTTCAGTCAGCGATGGATGGAAAGGAGTAATAAGGAGCAAGCAAGAGGATCTTGTAAGGAGTAAACAAGTGTGGTTCTGACATATTTTCTTCCAGAAAACATTTCAGACTGATGTAGGGAAGAGAAATGTGTGTTTTTTCTAAAATAATGTGACTGCTTTATGGTTTCTGCATTTAGACCAATTCATATGAATACAACTTAGATCTCAACATATCTGAGTACATCATGAAGAGCTGTTAGGCACTTTTCAAATTAAACTTGACATAGTAATCACGCTGTTAATTTTGTAGAAAATCTCCAGTTTATGTAGTCTTTACATACACATTTACAAAATCTTATGCAGTATCATAATGCTGCATTATAGCTGTTTTAGATACTATAGAAAGATGATTAAGAAAACAGAAGTAAAAGCAGTAGTTATCTAAAGCTAGTGTGCAATTTAATACATTAAAAATGATCAATAATAGTTTTTGTTTGCCTTGAAAACATGAAATGTTGTTTTATTTGTGCAGTAATTGTAAACCACTTGATCATATTTAGGCAGCAGATCAAATTAAGAAGCTGTATAATCTTTTCTTGAAAATTGATGCCACTCAGGTTGAAGTGAATCCCTTTGGTGAAACTCCAGAAGGGCAAGGTAAGAAATCGAAGGCAACAAATGAATGTGTTATAATTCTTTATTTATGCAAACTATAAATTAAATTGCATAGAAGGCTGTAGTAAAAACTCTGCATTAATTTCATTTTGTAATGCAATTTAAACAACATTCATAAATAATCCCTTGGCAGATTTTACATTTCAATACTTTTTATTTCATCCAAATACTGGAGGTATTGGCTTCTCTATGTTATACTTGGTGAGAAACAGCAACATTTTCTGCTCTTCTGCTCTTTGTACAAAGTGGAGTTTTTTCTTGGTTTTATTTTGGGTGTTGTTTTTTATTTGTTTTTTTTTGTTAATGCTGTTATAATTACCGAGAGCATGAGGAAAGGAACTTTTTATTTTACATTTATAAACACTTGGGTGAGTTCAAATTTTAAGTGCCTCTGCAACCTACTAAAGCACATTGAATTTGGGAAGTACTGGTGGGTGCTTCTTGAGTGTTTTTATCTATGTTTGTCAAAAAAAGACAATACCTGCTTTTCACCCACTTTATAAGCTATGCTGACAGATTACAGTGGAAATTAGAGAATGGAAAGAGAAAGCTTTTGCCCATTTAACAGACATTAGGAATGTGGCTGCTTAATTACTCTTCTGGAAACTTTTGAAAAAAGAAAAGTTTTTTGAAAAAGAAAAGTACCAACTGAAAGAATTAGCATTTTTAAAATATTTATGTGCCCGTAGCTAGTTTGTAAAATAAACAACTTTTCACTAAAAATAGGTATTTTTGGCTCAATTGGTGAGGAATTCAGAAGCTGAATTGTGGTTGCAAACTATGCTGTCTCTTTCCATTGTCCAACCTTGTTTTTCCCTTTTTATTTAAAAAAAAACAAACAAATAAATGCAAAAGATTTGGCAGAGGACTGTCCATAGCTTAAAAAGAAAATTCTGCTGGTAATGAACTCTGAAAAGCTCCAAAAGATGTAAAACAAAGCCAAAGCACAGTTTGAATTGAACCTAGCTAGG